CTGGCTCGGCCCCGCACCCCTGCCCGCCTGTGCACAGCCCTGCAGCCCTCCGGTTCCGTTTTTTATTTACTTACTTTATTTCGTTCCTCATTCCTTCCATTATTTTTTTTCTATTTTCTTTCACTTCTTTTTTTTTCATTTTATTCTTTTCTTTCCCCTTGCCCTCCTCTTCTTTCTCTTTTCACTTCTTTTCCTCCTTTTGCTTTTTTCCCTTTCCTTTTCCTCTTTTCTGCTTTCTTTTAGCACTTTTTTTTTTCATTTTCTTTTCCTTTTTTCCTTCTCCTCTTCACCTTTCTTTTCCCTGCCCACTTTCCCTTTTCTGTTTTTTGAGTGGCACCAGCACAGGGCCATTCCCATCCTCCCCAGGGGCACCAGCAGCACTTTTCCAGGCACCAGCTGCTTTCCAAACCCGGATGGATCCTTGGCCCCCAGTGCCAAGGATCTCCCAGCCATTCAGAGAGGGACCTTTACTCCAGTGGCCGTGCGAGCTCTCGCTGGCTGGCCAAGGGTGACAAGCTCCTCCACCACGATGGGGACACCAAGGAGGTGAAGGTCCATCCGTGCCCGCATTTCCCACGGGAGCCCTGTCCCATGGAGACCTGTGCTCATGGAGACTGCACCGGACACCATCTCAAGGACACAGTGAGGACATTTCTTCTATCTGGTGACCCCGCCAGGTGGACGTCCCTTGCCCTGAGCACCCTGGGCTGCCAGCCTGCCACCCACCAGCCTTTCCCAGCTCCCTGGATGCTACCTCCAGAGCCGGACAAGGTCCTTTCCAGCATCATCTGGGAATGTTCATCAAGCCCAAGAAGTTTAGAGCAACAAGTGTGTCCTTGGGCTGAGGTGGTCCATCTCACACTGCCATTCATGCACCGGGAGCAGGGAACACCACCTCAGCGCTGTCTCCCCGAGACTGAGCACTTGCTCGCGCGGGGCCTTCCAGGGGCAGCTCTCAGCTCTCCTCACCCTCGGCAAAGCACCAGAGTGCGCAAAGAGCGTGCAAAGCACGTGCAAAGGAGCGGCAGAGTGTGCAACCCTGCCCAGCTCCTTGGCCAGCCGGTGCAGGGTGTTTTCCCAAGGGATTTGCACCAGC